AGAGAGAGAGAGAGAGAGAGAGAGACGAAACGAAGATAACACAGAAGAAGCACGAACCAAAACGGAACTGAGCGGAACGGAGCGGAACGATAGCTCGGGCCGCTATCGCTTTGAAACTGGGTGAGAGAGCTCATGTGCCATTATGAATTCCGAGAGGCGGCGCGTATCTTTGTAATACATCGAATCGAATTCTGACGTCGAACTCGGTCGTTTGCAAGCACGAAAGTTGTTCGGCGTCGAGTCGAGCCGAGCCGTGCTCGCCGTAACTTCGCCAAGCTGCTACAGCAGCCGCGCGTTGCTCTTATTTTCGCGTCGCGCTGAGGAGAATCTCTCCTACGCTGTTTGCTACTCCCGGAGACGGCGTGGCGCCGCGACGAGTCTAAAAATCCGTGCCCGAGAAGCGGATAGAGCTAATTCCTCCTCGAACGTGCGTATGGGGGCGGAGGGGAGGGTGCGGAGTACTGCGTGTAGACATTAAAAGTATTTTTATCGACCACACACCGCTCGCATTTCCGCGCGTTCCCCGGCGTTCCCGTCGATTTGCTCTCTCGCGTCGCTTTCGGCGCGCGTTGCACTCCGTTGCATAGGAAACGCCACGCTCTCGCCACGTTCTCGTTCTCTCGCGCTCTTCGATATCTCGAATCCGTGTTACGCTCAAACAGATTCGCCGCGCCGTGGGGAGGCGCACCGAGTCGATTGGCGTTTCCGACGCGGCAGCCGGGAGACACGGCCTAACTCTCCGGCTGGAACGTTCTGGTCCATTACCGCCGCAGCGAAAATTGAATTTCCTCGGAATGGCGGCGCGGCGGCGTCAAGCTGCGCCGCGCGAGCGCCAGCTCGGATTAAATCGTTGCGGTCGCCGAGCGCACCGCGGCCACTAATGAAGCGTACCGCGCTGAATTTAAAAGAATTCTCTCCCGTCCGCACACCTCCGCGCACAGACAGCGGCGTCAGCCGACGTGGTCGCGAGGATTCGCGTCCTCGCGCGAAATTGCAGCCATCCGGCGCTCTCTTCCGCCCTTCGCCAGACCGTCGTCTTAAGGGACAGACAGAGAGAAAGAGAGAGAGAAAGAGAGAGAGAAGGGTTTGAGAGAGCGACGGGGTCGGGTACGTGTTGAATGAGGGTGAGTGCGTCGGAGGAGCGTAGCAGACGCGACGGATGTACCTGTGTGAGCACACGGCTTCTCTTCTGCATCGTATCTTCTTCCTCTCTACCTCCCTTTTCACCCTTTCACCCAGCCGGAAGGGGCCGCCTAACGAGCTCTCCGACCAGCGGAGTGCTTTGCAGTTGTTCACCTATTTAAATAAGAACCGCCGATGGTAATGAGAATGCAAATGGCGCGACACGCCCTACGCGAGCTTCGTCTCACACGCTATGGAATAATAAAAAGGCGTCTCGCGTTCGCTTGCAGTCGCGGCGACGACGACGGGTCCGAGCATCGCGGCTCTCTTCGCCAGCTAGCCACCGATCAGTC